AGCGGAATTGACAGCCTCGAAGGCTGGAAATATTCTGCTCCTGCAAAGACACGCTACGGGTGAAGAAGGGCAGCCCGACAGGACAGTTCCCATGCAGCTCTGGGCCACGTTTTGGAAAACTGGTCCAATCTGGCCCACCATCTGTGTTTCGTGCTGTCCTGGGGCTTGAACTCAGGGCCTGGATGCTGTCCCTGAGCTTTTGTGCTCAAGGCTGGTGCTCTACTCCTTGAGCCACATCCCCACTTCCAGCTTTTTGTCTGGTTAATTGGAGGTAAGTCTCATGGATTTTCCTGACCAGGCTGGCTTTGACTAGGATCCTAGATCTCAGCCTCCTGAATAGCTAGTTTGACAGGCGTGAGCCACCATGGCCTAGATGCTCTGACGGTTTTTATAGAGTTATTGGGACCCAGCCATGCTTGTTTTTGGTTTTTGTTTTATTGTTAGTTGTGGGGCTTGAACTCTGGGCCTGGGTGCTGTCCCTGAGCTCTTTAGCTCAAGGCAAGTGCTCTACCACTTGGTTTTCTGGTGGTTGGAGATACGTCTCATGGATTTTCCTGCCTGGGCCGACTTTGAACCTGGATCCTCAGATCTCAGCCTCGTGAGTAGCTAGGATGACAGGTGTGAGCCACGGACTCCAGTGATTTTTTATAGATCTGTGGGGACCCAGCCATGCTTTCATTTGCACAGTAGCTGTAACCACAGAGTTGAACAGCAGCCCCTTAACGGAAGCTCGCGTCTCTCGCCAGCAGGGGCAGTGCGTCCTGAAGCCTTGTGTCTGCCCAGGACACTCTTTCCCCTTTCAACTTCAAAAGGCTGGCAAGCCACTCTGGGGACCAGCAGCAGGTACCATTAACCCTACGTATAGGCCTTGCACGACCTTCACTGGGAAGATGGGAACATTCTGACGGAGTCCAAGATGCACAAGTCTAAGTGAGACCTTAAATAACCAGGGCACAGCCGGGCACCATGGTTCACGCCTGTAATCCCAGCTACTCTGGAGGAGACCGAGATCTGAGGATCCAGGCTCAAAGCCAGCCCAGGTAGAAAACGTTCTGCCAAACTTATCTCCAAGAAATCAGCAAAAAAGAAAGCTGGGGCTTAAGTGGTAGAGTACCAGCCTAGAGCCAAACAGCCAAGGGACAGTGCTTAAGCCCTGAGTTCAAGCCCTCGCACCAGCATGTACATACGCATAACCACAACAACAAAATCAAGGATGGCGAACCTGGCTTTATGAATAATTCTGGCTCAGGTCTGGGAAGGTGGCTCAGAGGTAGAGTGCTTGCCTTGCATGCATGAGGCCCTGGGTTCGATTCCTCAGCACCACATAAGCAAAAAGAAACAAGCCGGAAGTGGCGCTGTGGCTCAAGTGGTAGAGTGCTAGCCTTGAGCTGAAGAGCTGAGGGACAGCGCCCAGGCTCAGAGTTCAGGCCCCACAACTGGACCCTCCCCCCCAAAAAAAAAAGAATGAATAATTCTGGCTCAAAATACACTGTGCATTATTTTTTTTTTGTCGGTTGTGGTACTTGAACTCTGGGCCTGGGCGCTGCCCTTGTGCTCCTCAGCACAAGGCTAGTGCTCTACCCCTTGAGCCACAGCGCCACTTCCAGTTTTCTAGTGGTATTTTGGAGATAAGTCTCAGGGAAAATCCTGCCCAGGCTAGTTTGAACCTCAATCCTCAGATCTCAGCCTCCTGAGTAGTTAGGATTACAGGCGTGAGCCACCAGCGCCTGGCTTGTACATTTTTTTTTGCCAGTCCTGGGGCTTGAACTCAGGGTCTGGACACTGTTCCTGAGCTTCTTTTTGGCTCAAGGCTGGCACTCTACCACTTGAGCCACAGTGCCACTTCTGGCTTTTTCTGTGCATGTGGAACTGAGGAATCAAACCCTGGGCTTCGTGCATGCTAGGTGAGCACTGTACCATGAAGCCATGTTCCCAGCCCTGTCCATTCTTTATCCTCCATTTGGAAAAAAGGAGTAACTTGGTATGCCAAATTGTGAGCCATTAACCAAGTCAATACAAATGTCCCAGCCTCGGTGGGCTTGGGACACCCTATAGGCTTCACGAAGCGCACGGCCCAGGGTTTACAAGGATGGGGCAGCTACTCCCTCCCCCCTTTGAAATTTATCCCCAGTCATGCCTGGACCGGCCAGAGATTTCTGGGACTGAAAACTGGGCTCACGGCTGCCCTCCTTGCTACGCAGGAGGCCGAGATCTGAGGCTCACAGTTTGAAGCCAGCCCGGGCATCAAAGTCTGAGGTTCTCATCTCCAGTGAGCCCCTAAGAAAGCCAGAAGTTGGAGGTGTGTGTGGCTCGAGCGGTAGAGAGCCCAGGGCCAGGGCCAGGGTTCAAGGCCCAGGACTGGGGGTAAAAATGGCACCCTCCTCACCTTACTCTTCTCACTCTCTCCTCGAAACTTCAGTATCACATACAGCACAACAACGAAAAAAAGCCAGAGCCATTTGCTCCCAAGCCAGCCTTGGGCGTGCTCTGGAAGGTTCTGCCTGATCCGGAAGTGCCCTCCGCAGGGCGCCTTCCCCTGGGGCTCTCTGGCCATCTCCCTCAGCGACGAGAACATGAAGGCGCAGCCGCAGGAGAGGCAGAGGGGGAAGAACAGGAGCCATCTCAGCGTCCGCATGGTGGGCAGAGCTGGGGCAGGGCGCCGCTCATGGTGGGTCTGTTGGCTTGGCGCCGGGGGCTGGGCAGCTTCTGCTGGACGCTCGTGATGTCACAGAGGGCCTGGCCTGCAGTCCCTGCCATTGTGACCCCTTCAGGCTGCAGAGTAGGGATTGCCATGGTAGCCTGGGAACAGGACTTGCGGAGAAAGTTCTAGAAGCCATAGAAGGGAGGGCAAGTCGGCCGCCCCTATTCTGAGCCTGGCACTCTGCTGGGCGGTTTGTGAGCTGGCACCACGCGCCCCACCGCTGTGGAAGGGGCCGCCGATGCCCAACCTCCACTTGCCAGTGTTCCGGTGTAGATCTGTGTCTTAGAAAGCACAAAGTTCAGGGGGCAGCGGCTGCTCTCCTAGGCCATGTACAGCCATCGCTGCACCCACAGCCCCTCCCCGCCTGCCCAGCCCCATCTGCGGGGTGACCCTGGGAGCACTGAGCCCACTCACCTGTCATCCCAGCACGCAGGAGGCGTGAGTTCAAGGCCAGCCTGCTCCCAAACATCACAATTCATTAAAATGGTCATAAGAGCTAGGTGCTGGTGGCTCGTGCTGTGGTCCTAGATACTCAGGCTAGGAGCAGGTGGCTTGAGGCCAGGCAGGGCAGAAATGTTCACAAGACCCTATCTCAGAAATAACCAGGAGCGCTGGGAAGGTGGCTTAGTGGTGAAGTACTTGCCTAGCATGCATGAGGCCCTGGGTTCGATTCCTCAGCACCACACACACAGAACAAGCAGGAAGTGGCGCTGTGGCTCAGGTGGTAGAGCGCTAGCCTTGAGCACGAAGAGGCTCAGGGACAGTGCCTAGGCCCTGAGTTCAAGCCCCAGGACTGGCAAAATAAATAACCAGGAAGGTGGGCACCCACGGCTCAAGTGCCTGTCATCTCAGCTACTCAGGAGGCTGAGATCTGAGGATCATAGTTCAAGGCCAGCTGGGAAAGTCCGTGAGACTCTTACCCCAGTAAACTACTCAGAAAATGACAGAAGTGCTGCCATGATTCCACACTGTTGGCCTTGAGCAGAAAAGCTCAGGGATAGTACCCAGCACAGAGAGCAGGAGAAACAAGGGGGAAAAGGCGGGGGAGACTAGAGGTGTGGCTCAGATGGTTGAGCTGAAGCGTGGTGAGAGGCCTTGAGTTCAAGCCCAGGACCGCTCCCCCTCAAAGACAGAGCGCAGGAGGGCAGCGGGGCGGGCGGGTTCTAACTCGGCTGGAGGCTCAGGTGTGGTGCGAGAGCGCCAGGCCAGGGGAGAGGGGCTGACCCCCTGGCCTGCGTGTGGACCCCGACACGGGGCACAGGTGGACAGCCGTGCAGCCACTGGCAGAGGGGGCGCAGGGTCACCTGTCTGCACCGCTGAGGCACGGAGGGCTTCCTCCGGGGGTCTGGCGGAGCAGGAGGGCCTTCCCTCCCTCCCCCACCCCCACCAGGCAGGACTGTGCGCACGCGCAGCTCCGCTAACCAATCGGACATGGTTTCTCACCTGCCTGGGCTGTGGGACCCAGGAGGAAGCCGGCCAAGGACCGGACAGGCGGCCTGAGCGCAGGGCGGCTCCTGACCCTTCACCGCCGCTGCCTTGTGGAGGTGTGCGCCAGGCTCTGGGCACAGTGCTCCCTGTGTGGGGAAATGGCCTGAGAAGCAAGCTTCCGCTAACCCAAAGGCTGGGCTCTCTGAAGAAAGTCCCTGGCCTCCCGCACTGCACGGCCTGGACTAGGGCAAAGCCTACGAGATGTCTGAGGTCAGGGCTTTGAGATGGACGCAAGACTCTGGACACTGAGCGGGCCAGTGGGAAACATTGGATGTGGCCAACAGTCCACCAGAATAGAAGCGAGGCGCAAGTGAAGGAAGGAATCGCACACCTCCAGTGCCAGCAGTCAGGAGGGCTACGAAGCGAAGACTCCAAGCCTTCCTCCCGCCCCTAACACAGCACTGAGGCTAGCAGCACTGGGGAGTGCACCCCTGCACCACACCCCCTTATACTCACACTTTTTTTTTTGGTCAGTTGTGGGGCTTGAACTGTGGGCCGGGGCGCTGTCCCTCAGCTCTTCAGCTCAAGGCAAGCACTCTACCACTTGAGCCACAGCGCCACTTTTGGTTTTCTGGCAGTTTACTGGAGATAAGAGTCTCCAAGGACTTCCCTTGCCCGGGCTGCCTTTGAACCGAGATCCTCAGATCTCAGCCTCCTCAGTAGCTGGGATTACAGGCGTGAGCCACCAGTGCCTGGCTTCATACTCTCTATGTATGTAGGGTCTCCCCTGCCCACCTGTGTGGAGGGAGAGGCGAGGAGAGGCAGCACCCACTCCTGGGGGTGATGGGGGGGGGGACAGGAGAGCCAGCAGGAGAACAGCAGACCTGCTTTATTCGGTACCATACCACCAGGTGCCCAACTGATCTTGGTTCTCTCCAGATGACACCGAGTGCCAGGTGGGCCCTGGCGGTGGGTGGGGGGGGTGCCAGCGGTGAGGCCACAGCCTGGGTCCCAGCCTCAGTTTCTCCTGGGGACTGTGGGCGCTATGGCCTCCATGGCAGGGCTGTCCACGCACGCAAGAAACCTGGGCCTTTCACTACCGAAGCAGCCACGCAGCGGCCGCGATGTTGTGGTGTGGAAAGGAGACAGCACGTGGCGGTGGAAGCAGTGAGGCCGAGCTCAAAGGGACCACAGGGGCTGGTGGGTGGCAGGACAATTTATCACGCGAGCGCGCAGGGCAGGTGGGCCGGGGGGCGGGGCTGCTCAGAAGCAGTAGGACGTGTGGGTGACCCAGTGCGCAGACTCCTCCTTGGAGCGTTTGGCGGAGCTGTGTGTGGTGAAGAGTGACTTGTAGGCTTCCGACTCCTCGCTGTCGGCAATGGATCTTTTCACGGCTCCCGGCGCTGCCTTCCCAGCTTTTCCAGGAGCACCTCCATTAGTGGCTAGAAAAGAAATGGCCCAACTTTCACGGCTGAAGGTCAGGCGGGTCCTGGCCGGCGGGAGTGCTGGCCCGCGCCTGGCTGGCATCTCCCGAGCAGTGGCCATGGCTCCCGCTGTGAATGTGCCACTGGCTGCGATGGCCGGGCCCGGGGCGGCTCCCTCCCAGGACGCCCCGCGCTGGGCGCTCTGCAGGCAGGCGCCGCACAGCCCACAGCTTAAACTGCGTGAGCTGTGGGCCGGCTGCACCTGTGAAGCGAATGCTGTTTGCTTGAAGTGGGGGTGGTAAATGTCAGGGTTGGGGCAGGGGCTGGAGAGGACTGCGTGGCACCGGTGGAGCCGGCTGTGCCGAGACCAGGAGGCGGCCACTGTCCCGAGCCGTGCACAGGGCACCGAGCGTGTCTGAGTCGGCCGGGTGGCCTCTGGCCACACACAGTCACCACCTGGGACAGCGCCCGGGACAAGCTGCTTTTTGCACTCACTTTCTCGCGTGGCCGCAGGCCTTCCACCCCCAGCTCCTCCGTGGGACTCACCTGCACTTTTGGGGGCTGAGGCTGGCTTCTCTTTGGGGTCGGAGCCGCTTTCCTCGGCCCTGCCAGGCTTCACTTTGGATGGCCCTGGGCATTCTGGAAAAGAAACACAAACCCAGCAAAGCGGGCTGTTGTGTGGGCTGTGGGCTGCGGGCCGCGGGCCGCAGGCCGAGGTGCTGCTGTTCTAGCCCTAGCACTCACCTTCGGTGGCTCCCGCCTTCGAAGCACATTCCACGCCCTTGGGCTTCTTGGTTTTCTGCAAGAGGAGAGAAGTGGGGGAAGCATTAGACGTGGCTGTGGCGCCGAGCCTCCTTGTGGCCAGTGGTCTTGGCACAGCAAACCCGGCGCTGGCACCGGTCAACTCTGACCCAAGCCTCCATGTGCATGCGGGTCTGCGCGAGGGCCTCCTGCTGGGACAGGACGCCAGTGCCCTTCAGTGCCCACTGGGGACCACTGCCCACAGCGGGCAGAGCAACGCGGGTGCGCAGCCCAGCAGCACAGCAGCCCAGCATGGGCTATGTCCATAGACTACGTCCAAAGCTCTCAATTACTTCCAGCTTTTTTTTTTGTCAGTCATTCCTGGGACTTAAACCCAGGGCCTAGCTGTTGCCCCTGAGCTCTTTTTGCTCAAGGCTACCACTCTACCACTTTGAGCCAAGCTCCACTTCTGATTTTCTGGTGGTTAATTGGAGATCAGACTCTCACAGCCAGATTTTCCTTTGAGCCACGATCCTCAGAGCTCAGCCACCAGAGTAGCTAGGATTGCAGCGGCTGGCTCTGGTTAGGTTCTTAGGCACTAGAATTGTGATATGTTAGTTGCTGATCATCAAGAATGGTGCCATTTAAAATCATATAGCCACGTCTGCACTGACTCAACTGCGGAGACAGGACTGCGTTTGTTTAGTTTACTAAGATGTCACTTTTGTGGTGGTAGCAAGGCCAGAGAGCCACATTATTTCAGACGACCTCCACGGAGGGGTGGCACCTGTAAACCAGGCCGACGCCAGCCGTCCCCACTGCCGGGAGGGACGGGGCGGCATGTGTGCGGAGGGCCAGTCACTTCCGCTGAGCTCTGACCAATCGGCAGGAAGCCTGGGACAGGGAAATGTGCTCAAGTAAATGGGACAGAACTCCACGAAAACCCCAGTAGCTTCTTCAGTGTTCAATTACCCCCTCGTGTGTGTTTGTTCGTGCATGCGCACTTGAACTCAGGGCTGGGTGCTGCTCATAAAATATCTGCACTAGCTAGCTAGTATCTGTGCCTACTCAGTGAATCGTTGTATGAAATGCGCTGCTGGCCTCGGCCCCTCTTCCTGGGCAGCTCTGAGGCTTGAGCTCAGGCTCCTCCTGCCAGGCAGGTGCCTCCTGCTGAGCCGCGCCCCAGCCCTGTCGTCACGGTGTCGTCAGGCAGCGCTTCCACGTCCCGGCGCCGAGACTGCCCCCTCCCCGCACGACCCGGCCGCTGTGCGCCCTGTGTGGGGCGCTGTCTACGCTGTCACTCGTGGTGGGGCCAAGTGTGGACGGGTACCACGGTGCCCGGCACGGGCAGGACCCACGCGCTCAGAAGCTGCCAGCAGCCTGGGTGAGGGCGGGGGCGGGCTCTGGGGAGCGCTGGCTCACCCGGCCGCCCCGGCCCACAGCCCATGCCCACGCGTCTCACCTTCTCCAGCCTGGCCCGCAGCCGCCGCTCCTCCATCCTCGTCTGGAGCTCCTCCACATCCTCCTTGGTGCCGTTGAGCACGATGACGTCGTCGTCCTGGAACGCGGTCCCGCACTGCAGGGCGAGGGGGAAGACCGTGGGTCAGATCACCACTGCTCCCGGCCTTCTCCATGGCTGCGGCCCCTGACCTCCCTCGCCCCTCCCCTCCCACCCCCTGCAGTTAGGACTTTCTCCGCTAATGCTACCTGCACAGTGGGCTCTATAGGAATGTCAACGTTTGCTTTATTTTGGTCACATGTTCCGTAGATACCACTAAACGGGGCAGAAATCACAGCACTTACTGAAAAGCGGTGCACGCCTTAGCTCTGCAGATTCATTCAAAGGCAAGCCAAGCCAGCCAGCTCCAAGCTGGTCCTTTGTGTTCTTATCTGAGGCGGTTTCAGCACACTGCACAGGCTGCCTTGCCTGTACCTTCCTCCCAGGAGGCAGCCCAGGCCTGCCTCCAGGGTGCTGGGATTATAGAGCTGTGCCACAATGCCTGGCTCTAGGTCGTAATTTTTCTTATAAATGCTTTTTTAAAAAAGAGTCGGGAAATGTCAAGAGGGAAGTGTGGTGGACACGGGCGCGTGTGTGCTACACCTACGTGGTTCACAGCTGCTGTTAGTGTCTGACCCAAGTGCCACCTGTGTGGCACTGCTGTTCTGTCATATACCTGTCCGCCCCCGGCAGAGGGCGTGCGTGGCTGTGAGCGTAGACCTGTCTGCCTTGGGGAGCACCTGCGCTCTTCCTCGGTGCTCCTCCGCCTGGTGGTGGCCCGGGTTCTGCCCACAGGCCGCTCCATAACTGCTGACGGGTCAAGGGCCAGCGCCAGCGCCATGCTACGGGGCTTCCAGCCCTGGCCTTGCTCACAAAGCCTGAGGAGGGGTGGGTACCCAGACGCCCCACCATGGCCACACATGTGGCCCCCCGCCATGTACACGTGAGCTCTGGAGTAGTGCGGCTCAGGCTCTCTGGTCAGCGGGAATCGCCAGCTCTCCCCCCTCTCCTTAGGAACCCATACACGTGACTAGAGTAGACTTTACCAAGCAGGAAAGCCGCGCGCTCAGCTCAGCTCAGCCCAGCCCAGCCCAGCCCGCAGTCTCAGACCCCGAGGGTGGCTGTGGCTGTCCCCAGGGCCGGCTGTCCTGGTGCAGCGCTTTGTTTACCCAGCTCTGAGGAAGCTCAGAGAAGCCACGGCAGCATCGCCTGCGGCATCCCCGCGTGACAGGCGCCCGGTGCCCCGGGGGAGGCAGAGGCAGCGCGGCCTGCCAGGCAACTCCACGAGCAGGAGAGCGGCAGGGCGGTGGCCGGCACCAGCAGAGCCTCTCACCCCGTGCGCAGCGGCAGATCCGGTGGTAAGTGCCTGCTACCTGCTGTGACTGAATGGCAGGCTCTCCCCGGGCGGCCAGTGCTGGGAGGCTGAGGCAGGAGGGCCAGGCCCGGGACTACAGGGGGGCACAACCATGCCTGTCTTTCTTGGTCCCTCTGTGGCACTAGAATAGGATGCCTGAACATCAGGCAGACTTGGAATGCAGGCATGCGGGAACCTTTCCCTCACCACACGCTCTGCGTCTGTGGAGTTCTCACCAAGGCAGAACCACCGATCATTCCATTTAAAGAATGGCTCTGTGTGTGTGTGTGTGTGTGTGTGTGTGTGTGTGTGTGCGCGCGCGCGCGCGCGCGCCAGTCTTGGGGCTTGAACTCAGGACTGAGCTTTTTTGCTCAAGTCTAGTGTGTATGTGTGTGTGTGTGGGGGGGGTTGAACTCAGGACTGAGCTCTTTTGCTCAAGTCTAGGGCTCTGCCCCTTGAGCCACAGCTCCACTTTCTGCTGTTTTTGGTGTGATTAATTGGAGAGAAGTCTTATGAACTTTCCTATCGAGACTGGCTTCGAACCGTAATCCTCAGTTCTCAGCCTTTGCATAGCGAGCAGCACAGGTGTGAGCCGCCAGCACCAGGCAGGGCTATTTTTGTTTTTTTGCCTGTCCTAGGGCTTGAACTTCGGACCTGGGCTGTCCCCGAGCTTCTTTTGCTCAAGGCTAGTGCTCGTTAACACGTGAGCCTCCGTGCCACTTCCTCCTTTTTCTGTCTGTGGTACTGAGGAACGGAACCCAGGGCTTCATGCATGCTAGGCAAGCACTCAACCACATTCCCAGCCCAGGCAGAACTGTTTTTAAGGAATGTATATTCCCCATGAGGGGGGGGAATTCCCGTTTACTAAATGCACCTTCATTATGGCTAAAAATGTTGCAATCACAGTATAGAACCGCCCCCCCCCCCCCAGCAGTCCAAAGTGGCTGAAGCAGCAAGTTAAGACAGATTGGTGGAGGCCTCGCCTCAGGTGCTCGGGCAGATGTGGATCCCAAATTCAAAGTGAGCCTGGAACAGATGTCGTGGCCACTGTGGGGGCTGTGACAAGCTGACACCTAAGCCACCGCCCTCCCGGTTCTGCAGAAGTCAGCTGCCCCAAGGACAGGCCACCCAGAAGAGGCTCCTCTGTGCGTTATGGAAACGGCTGAGAATGCCGCCCGGGGTGGGGTCTACGCCAGGTCTATGCGTCACCTGCATGCACAGGGACGCAGGACCTCTGCAGCAGGAAGGGAACCAGGAGAAGGGAATAAAACCCCACCTCCTCCCCTCCACTCCCCACCTCCGGGGAGAGCAGACCCCTACTGCATTTAAACAGTCTCCTTCCCGGGCAAGTTCTGTATCTAAGGTGGATTTGCTTAGTTTAGAGATGAGATAGAAAATATGCAAACTATAAGTGGGAGTGTTAGGTTTGTGCAGGCAAGTACTAGAATTTCATAACAGGTCTTTCCAAGTAGGCTGTGAAGTTTGACGTTTGGCATAAGGAACATTTACTGAATCATCACAAAATACTCCACCCCTTGACATTTGGGGAACAGCTACCTCTCACTCCCTAAGCCTGTTGGGTAAAAAGAAATTACAGTAAAAGTAAATGCAACATTAGAAAATCCAAGCCAGGCACAGCGCTCAAGCCTACTCCTAGCTATCTGGGAGGTACAGCCTGGGCACTGCGTGGTTTGAGGGCAGCCCGGAGACAAAAGCTCACAAGCCTGTGTTTCCCTCAACTGGAAACTGTGTTTCCAGTGCTGTCACCCCGCTACAGGGGCAGCAAAATGACACAGTACAGCGGTGCGTGCCTGGCATCCCAACCATCAGAACTAGAACCACAGCCCATGCTGGGCATAAACTGAGACCCTACCTGGAAAAAGGGGCTGGAGGCAAGGCTCATGTGGTAGAGCCCCAGCCTAGCAAGCACAAGCCCTGAGTTCTATCCCCAGTACCATAAAAAACACAACCAACATACAATTAGTTTTGGGGTTTTCTGTTTTTTTTTTTTTTTTTGCCGGTCCCGAAGCTTGAACTCTGGGCCTGGGGGCTGTCCCCAACCTCCTTTTGCTCAGGGCTAACATTCTACCTCTTGGGCCACAGTGCCACTTCGTGGTGTGAGCCACCAGCACCCAGTTTTTATTGTGTCAGAACTTAAGAACCCAAGGATAACCTGGAATACTTTCTCCAAATAACATTTGTAATGGTGACGGGAGAGACAAGAAAGTGCTGCCACATCTGAGGGAAACACCAGTCAAGACAACAGGCTTGCCAGGCGCCGGTGGCTCAGGCCTGAGCTCTGAGGGGCGAAGCTGGAAGCCAGACCAGGCAGAAAAGTCCCAGTGAGACTCCTATCTCCAAGTAACCACTCAAAAACTGGAAGTAGAACTATGGCTCAAAGCAGTAGAGCGCAAAAGGTATCAGGGACAGCACACAGGCTCCGAGTTCAAGCTCCACAACTGACCAAAAGAAAAAAAAGGCAACAGGCTTTTTACTTGTTATGGAAGCCGAGGTGCCAGTCATGGAGGCGCAGCCCCACCTCTTTCCTGAGCCCAAGGACAATGACCAGGCCAGGAAGGTGGCACCCACAGATACCACCACTGCCCTTCTGCCACGCCCACCAAGGAGCCACTGGAGGTCGGGCAGGCCCCATGCTAGCCTCCAGTGATGAGGACAGGACCCTATCTTGTCTGCAATCGAGCAGGTCCTCCCTAGAAACAACTCATGCCCTCGTGCCAGCAGGCTTGTATCTGCGATGGCCACACAACGCTTCATGTCATTTCCGTTACTGGAAGATGGAGCAGGCACTGCGTACACCCCAGGCTCCACACCTATCATTCTTGGGAACCACTGCTCAGATTAGAGGGTCATCCTGGCAACAGCCAACCACACCCAGTGCTGACACAGCTGTCTGCTGCTGCAAGCACTTTGGGAAACACTTGCAGTTTCTTTTTTTTTTTTTTTTTGGTTAGTCGTGGGGCTTGAACTCTGGGCCTGGGCGCTGTCCCTCAGCTCTTCATCTCAAGGTGAGTGCTCCACCACTTGAGCCACAGCACCACTTCCCGTTTTCTGAGTGATAAGAGTCTCATGGACTTTCCTGCCCGGGCTGGCTTTGAACGGCAAGCCTCAGATCTCAGCCTCCTGAGTAGCTAGGATGACAGGCGTGAGCCACCGGTGCCCGGGTGGAAACATGACACATGAGCCAACCACTTCACTACCTGACATTCACCCAAGGAAAAAGAAGTATCTTTCCGCCACACACAGACTCACGCTCAATGCTCACTGTATAATCGCAATGTTCAAAACCTAGAAATACTGAAATGTCCACAAGCAGCTGAATGAATACGAAAACTGGGCCTGAGTGCATAAGGATGTAGCTCAGCGGCACAGCACTGGCCTGGCGTGTGAGGGCCTTAGATTCCACTTCTAGCCCCCCATCCACCACCAAAAAGGGCTGGAAATGGGACTCAAGCAGGAGAGCATCTTCCTAGTAAGCTCAGCACTCTGAGTTCAAATCCCAGTACTGATGATAAACGTAATGCAATCATAAGGATGAGTTCAGAGTCAGTGTTACAGGTGAAGGCCAGGAGAGACGTGCACACTATATACATGACACAATGTGCACAGGAATCTGGGGAGGTCCAGAGATGGGGGCAGGAGGAGGGCTGCACTAAAAGAGGCACAAAGCAACTCTCAGGGGTGGAGAAAACGCTCACCTGACTGTGGCGTTGGTATTTATATAGACATGCACATAGCTGGGCGTGGGAGTACCACCTCTAGTCACAGCTCTGGAGGCAGCTGAGGCAGGGGGTCACTGGAGGACAGGAGTTTGAGGTCAACTTGGACAGCAGAACAAAACCCCATCTCAAAAGAGACATCTGGTCAAGCTCTCCACTTGACAGACACATGGACTGGCAGCTGCGGTAAAGCTGGGAAAGGTAAGGACACTCACCAGTGCTGTCTCTGGTTCTTCTAGGAAGTGCAGAGGAAAACACCCAAACTATGGTCAGAAGAATGCACTGGGAGCCGGGCGCTGGTGGCTCAGGCCTGTAATCCTAGCTACTCAGGAGGCTGAGATTTGAGGATCTCGGTCAAAGCCAGCAGGAAAGACTGTGAGATCCTATCTCCAATCAACCACCAGAAAAAAATGGAAGTGGCACTGTAGCTCAAGTGGTAGAGCGCTCACCTTGAGCTGAAGAGCTGAGGGATAGCGCCCAGGCCCAGAGTTCAGGCCCCAGGACGGACACACACACACAAAAAGAATGCACTGGGAGCGCCAGGCATGGGCCAGCTTCGAGCCACAAAGCCTGGGCTGCTCGTGTGCGTGGCTGTCTGCATCTCCATCTTCCTGTATTTAAGGAGCTCTGCTCCGGAGGCTGCTGAGGCAGAGCTCACCCACCGGGCCGCCGTGGAATGCGGCTTTTATCCCGATGAACTGTGCTCAGCTTTATTTGAAGGGAAGAAAGCAGCCCCCCAGATTGCCAGATTCTGCAAAAACCCACCCACATCCCACATCCTTGGGTATGTACACAAAGCGGGAAACTGCTCCCAGATTTCCCGGGGGCTGCGCTTCATCACCACACCTCTCTCCGCAGAGGAGGGGAACTTCTCGCTGGCCTACATCATCACCTTTCACGAGGAGCCGGCCATGTTTGTGCAGCTCCTCAGGGCTATCTACGCACCACAAAATGTTTACTGTATTCATGTGCATGAAAAGGCCCCAAGGAAGTACACGAGGATGGTGCAGACCCTAGCCAACTGCTTCGAAAACATCTTTATTCCATCACAGACACAAAAGGCGGTTTACAGCAACCTTGCGAGACTGCAGGCGGATATTAGCTGTATGAAAGATCTGGTCCAATCCAAACTGCGATGGAGATATGTCATCAATCTTTGTGACCAGGATTTCCCCATCAAAACCAACAGAGAAATCATCCACTACCTCAAAAGCAAGTGGAAAGATAAAAACATCACTCCCAGAGTGGCCCAAACAGCGCGCCCCCCACCCCCGCCGGGCCTAGGGCTTCCAGAGTCCCGCACGGAAGGGAGTATCCATTTATCTCCAAATGAAGAATTGGAGCGCAAGCCACCACACAACGTAACCATTTACTTTGGAAGTGCCTACTACTTGCTTACAAGGAAGTTTGTGGAGTTCATACTGACCGACAGCCGTGCAAAAGACATGCTGCAGTGGGCCAGAGACAGCCACAGCCCAGAGCAGCATTACTGGGTGACCCTGAGCCGACTCAAAGGTAAGAAGACTGACCACACAGATGTCTGTTCAGAGCAGAGGCCAGGGGCAGGGCTTCTATCCTCCCCTCCTTTCCCCCCTCTCCCCCTGTGCCTGTTCTTGTGCCAGTACTGGGGCTTGAACTCAGGTCCCCAAGCTCTTGTTTAGCTATTTTGCTCAAGGCTGGCACTCTACCACTTAAGCTACAGGCTTAAGTATACTTAAGTATACTTCTGGCCTTTTGCTGTATAATTGGTAATCTTCATGGGCTGGATTGGAACTTGGATCCCCAGATGTCAGCCTCCTGGGTAGCTAGAATCACAAGTAACCTGGGCCTGTCTGCCCAGGCTGGCTTTGAACCTGTCCTCAGATCTCAGCCTCCTGAGTTACAGGATTACAAGTATGAGCCACTTGCAGTCAAGTGGGGGCTTTTTTTGTTTGCTTCATTTGGCTTTAATTTTTATCCTTAATTATTCAAAAATTGTGGACATTTGACCTGTAACATTGTTTCTAAGAAAGTATTCCATGATCTATAATATATACCATAATAGTGGAATAGCTGTATCCAAAATAAGAAAAGTTCCTTCCTGGCCTTCATGTGCATTGGGTCCCATATCTCTGGACACTGAAGGCTAACTTATGCTGGAATGAACAACATTATTTTGTACTATTGATGCAAACATAATTTGTTTTTCTCTGTCATGTGGCTTTCCTAGCATTATTCTTTTCAAGGTGACTTCTTCTCTCATTTCCTTCATTGCTTTCTACCAAGGGTTCTGGTTCAATATTTCTCCAACTGCCTCCTTGTATTAGCTGTAAAATAAATGTAAAGCTTGGTATAAGCCCCAAAAATATCTGATCAAAACACATACTTAACAAATTGTTGGCTAAATCTTTCATGTATGATGAAAGACTATTACCATAATTCAACAGCAAAGTACAGATGTTGAAATGTAGGCCCTGAACTAATCGGTGTGGACTGGCTGGGGAGAAGTTCACACATTCATAGGGAAAGTGTTTTATAAAAATGCTTGCTTTTTGAGATTTTAGCAGCCCCATTTTAGTGGAGGGAGTTATTCTTAATGGAGATTGTTTTTTCTATTCAGCTGTTTTCTGAAGGCTTTGTTGAAATTCTCTTGCTTGATCTTTCCCTGGGGAGCGCAGGTGGGTCTTTGGCTTTAGGACAGCCACATCCCCCCGCCACCTGGCTGCTTTAGTCTCCACTACAGAAGTACTGGCATTTTTTGCTTCTCCTCAGATAGAGCCTTTGAAAATCCCGGCCATATGTCTTTGGGAATTCTCCCTGTTTTCACCCGTTTGGTAAATACCACTGGGCAGCCACTACTGCCAGGCATGACCGTGAGGGCCCTATAATAAGGAGACATGCCCACACCAGTGATGGGTTTGTGCAAAGGCCCTGACGCTTCACAAGGCTCTATAATAAGGGGACATGCCCACACCAGTGATGGGTTTGT